TGTTTACACCAAGTGTTATTGATTGCAGAGGTTCAAATTTGACGAACACGACAGCGCTAAATAACAAAATATTTACCGTTTAATGGAGTGAAGATCGTTTGTTGTTCTTATTGAAGTTGGTTTTTGTTTGAGGGTGGTGGCTGTTTGTTTCTGTTTCTTTGTTTGTGAAGAGTTTTAAATGTGGATGGTTGGCGGGTGCTCTGGTGTGGTTTGCTCCTTCTTTCCTATCAAACATTTTTCGTCCTAACCTCTCCTCCTTTTTTGTGTACGTCACTCTCTTGTAACACCTCTAATCTTCGGCACTTATATGACCTTATTGTGTTGCAAGTTCCGTAAAACTCTTTCTAAAACATCTAATCTTCGGTACTTGTATGACCTTATTGTGTTGTAAGTGCCATAAAACACTAAAATATAACAAGTTTTCATTAATCTGTTTTTAGTGGATTTTCCTGTGTTTGTGTTTTTTCAGACATTAGTATCAGTTAGGTCTATACCGCTGTCAAGCGGGTGGCTGGTTGACATTCATTTGAAACAATTTATGCGTTCCAGCCCTCTGCATTGTCGTATGGTTTTATTTGTCGCTGCGGGAGAGAATGTGACTGTATGGATACAAAAATTGAAATAATATCTACAAAACCCAGCGGAACAAAGCCACAAATGCTGATGTCAGACGGAATAGTCTTATGTGTGAAAAACATTTTTTTTTTCATTTTCGTGCGGTTGGGTATTGCGCGATTTCTATTGTCTTTTTTTCAACATGATTCAGTTTACGCACATTTTGTAACAAAAGTAGGGAAACAACTCAACAGGGACAATACATGATAAGAGTTTACTGTCGTTTAAATGTACAGGACAACACATGACATATCACATCCCCCCTAATGATAGAGATAATTAATTATTATGGGTTTTTTGACTCCTCGTTATAAAGCCATGTGTGGCAGATTGGAGGATCGCGGAAGCATGTGCGCTCGCGCGCGCGCGTGTGTATGTGTGTGTGTGTGTGAGAGAGAGAGAGAGAGAGAGAGAGA